GCTGCTGCGTCTGCTCTCATTGCTGAGCTGCTTGACTTTGCTGCTGCCTGTCGTCTAGACTACGCCACTACTCTTGTTGCTGAGTCTGAGTCTGCCAGTCCTCCGTCCGTCGAGGGTGAGTGTGCTCTTGGCACGGACGTCCTTGAGGACAGGCAGGAGGACTTTGAGTGTCTTGCAGCTGCTGTACCTCGTTTCGCTTCCATGCTGCTTGCCCCTGAGGGAGACCCGGATGCACCAGACATCCCGACCCCGCGCTCTTACGCAGAGGCGATTACAGGTCCTTACTCCTCTCAGTGGCAGGCAGCCATGGATGCCGAGATAGCATCCTGGAAGTCCACAGGCACCTACGTCGACGAGGTTCCCCCACCTGGGGCGAACATTGTCGATGGCATGTGGATTTTCAGGGTGAAGCGGCCGCTGGGTTCTCCGCCTGCCTTCAAGGCGCATTACGTTGCTCGAGGCTTCAGTCAGCAACAGGGGGTCCACAACTTCCAGACCTTCTCCCCCACCCCGAAGATGACTACTCTTTGGGTGTTGCTGCACGTCGCTGCTCAGCGTGACTACGAGTTGCACTCTCTGGACTTCAGCACAGCTTTCCTGCAGGGCAGCCTGCACGAGGAGATCTGGCTGCGCCGACCACCTGCTTCCACTGGGACGTTTCCTGCAGGTACCCAGTGGAGCCTCCGCCGGCCAGTCTACGGTCTCCGCCAGGCGCCTCGCGAGTGGCACGACACACTGAGGACTACACTTGCGGCTCTTGGGTTTGCTCCTTCTACTGCGGACCCGTCGCTGTATCTACGCACCGACACGTCGCTGCCGCCGTTCTACGTCCTCGTGTACGTCGACGACATCGTCTTTGCCACTGCTGACACCGAGGCACTGACCCTTGTGAAGTCCGAGCTGCAGAAGAGACACACCTGCACTGACCCGGGTGAACTGCGCAGCTATCTTGGCCTGCAGATCACCCGGGACAGAGCACGACGCACCATCACACTGACTCTGTCACACATGGTGCACCAGGTCCTTCAGCGCTTCAGCTTCCTGTTCTCCTCGCCACAGCCCACTCCTCTGTCTACCAGCCACTCGCTCTCAGCTCCACCTTCGGACGAGTCCGTAGAGCTGAGTGGTCCGTACCCAGAGCTTGTGGGTTGCCTCATGTACCTGATGACGTGCACACGACCTGACCTCGCGTACCCTCTCAGCCTTCTGGCTCACTACGTGGCTCCCGGTAGGCACCGAAAGGTGCATTGGGATGCTGCGAAGAGGGTACTGTGTTACCTGTGCAGTACGTCGGGCATGGGGCTTGTGCTTGGAGGACGGGGTCCAGTCTTTCTCACTGGTCACGCAGACGCCTCCTGGGTTGACGACTCAGCTACGCAGCGGTCGTCACAGGGTTACACCTTCAGCCTTGGTTCCGGCTCTATTTCTTGGCGGTCTACCCGCTCGTCTTCTGTTCTCAGCTCCAGTTGTGAGGCTGAGATCTACGCTGGGGCCATGGCTGCTCAGGAGCTACGCTGGCTCACCTACCTGCTAACCGACTTGGGAGAGCAGCCTCGTTCGCCCCCAGTTTTGTACGTAGACAACAAGGCCATGATTGCCTTGTGTCAGGAGCACAGACTGGAGCACAGAACGAAGCACATCGCTCTTCGATACTTCCTTGCTCGAGAGTTGCAGCAGCGTGGCCAGCTTCGTCTTGCGTACGTGGCCACTCGGGCCAACACTGCTGATGTCTTCACCAAGGCACTTCCTCCTGGTGATCATCAGCGCTTTGTTACTGTGTTAGGCCTTGTGCCTACTTTGCCTCACTTGCTTGCTGCTTGACTCTGCTTGTACTGTGATCTCTATATATACCTTCATGCTTGCACTTGCTAGGGTATGATCACTGTATTGTTTGTTCTCTTTATATAACTCTGCATGTGAACTGGCCTTGTGGCCCTTTGCTTGTGCTCGGACTGTGTGGTGACTTTGTGATCCACCCTGAGCTTGCTTTGCTTTTCTTGACTGGTCTTGTGACCACTTGTTCTCCCCCACTTTGCCTATGGGGGTGTGTCAAACTTATAAGCTGCACATTGTGTAGTTTGTAGTGGGGTAGCCCATATGGGGTACAATACAACTCAGGGTTAGTACTTGTACTCATCCTGCTGCTAGTTCATCCCATTTCTCGTTTGTAACTTTGACACCACCAACTTGGACGCACCCTGAAGAAACAGACCTCGAACGCCTTGGACCGGATGGTCTCTGTCATACACTCGCCGTCCCGACCGCCTCAACCTCCGCTCCCGGCGACACTGGACCTGCATGAATGGAAGAAGAAGCTGGTAGTGATGCGTCAGAGAAGGCAGCAACATCACAGCAGACCGACACTAGAGGATGGGGAAACACATGAACTACTGTCGCCTTTTGATGGGGCACTAGTGTTGTCATATGCGCTTGGAGCGTACCAAAACCTCCTTCCGCAAACCCTGATCAAGGCGGATGGGGTCCACCGACTCTCCCGCCGGGTGTTTCCTTTGAAGGCGGGTGGGGAACGTCAACAAGTCCAGGTGGCTGGGGTCCACCAGGACCTTTGCCCGAAGCTCCGAGGCACCTCCATGAAGCCGTGGCGGAAGCAGATCCCTACTGGGCAACACGCGGCACCAGTTGGGGTGGACCTCATCTCCCGGATCAATATCCCTACGAACCAACACAGGAAGAAGAGTCAGAAGGCATGGTGTATGATTTCGGAGAAGCAGCAGAACTACCTGAACCTACCAAGGAGCAGGCACCACCAGAAGAAGGACCACAGCTAATCTCAATCACATGCGACGAGTACCTTTACCACTGAATCCCGATCGACGGACTCCCCGCTTCTGAGTGGCCAGAAGCGACACCGCCTCAGCAACTCCTACCAATCGCCGACGACTCAATTCACGTTGCCGACACAACTAACGTCTTCGGCATCTCCGAAGCTGATCTTCGCCAAGCCTCCACTCAAGCCTTTGTAGTGGACGTACGAGCCGCCGTCGATAAAGGACATGCGACACCACAGCAAGAAGAAGAACAGAGAAACCGTTATTGCAAGCGCACCTTCGGATACCGTGCCACCCCTGACATCTGGCATTAGCGACTCGGACACCCTTCACATGCAACACTCAAGAATTCAATTGCCGCTAACGTTTTAGACGCAAACGGACTGCTCCTACTTAACGACGACACACTAAAAACAACATCACACGACCCGCTGTGCACCATCTGCCCCACCGCATCGCTCGCTCACAAGCCCTTTCCATACTTACCTCCGGGCTACGAGCAATAGGAGCCGCTCGAAAAGGTGTACATCGACTTCATGTTTCTAAGTCAAGGTGGGCTGGACAAGCGAATACAACACTATGACGTTCATCGACACCAGCACGCGCTACGCCTGGGCCGTCAAAATCGACTGCCGTTCGCGCGCCTTCGATCGCTTCGTGTTCTGGATGAAGCGAACTGAGAGAAAATAAGGGATGAAGCTGAAGAGCATCCAGAGGACAGGGGTTTGGAGTACTTCTCCAATGAGTTCAAGGAGCTCTTCGCCCTGCTTACCGGCGTACACGACTGTTCCCGCCAACAGTACCCAACAGTGCACCGTTACGACTCGCGACACTCGCCTCGACCACTGTTCCCGCCACTGTTCACGACCCGACCCAACCTCACAGTTCGGTTGGTAACCTGCGCTCCGGACCTCCGCCTCGACATTTCCCAACCCCGACGCTAGGCCCTTAGCGCACCCCAATTCCTCGCGTTACCGTTACCATGCTAGCTTCGCTATGTAATCTTCGCTCAATGTGCTGTTTTGCTTCGATAGTGCGATTCTCGCTTGCTGGCTCAATTGCACAAGGGCGTGGAACATTTGGGAAATGTTTCAAATGGTCCATTTGCCAGACCCTTTGTTCAAGTAGGTTTCAAAACGTTTCAGATAGGCTTGGGCATTGGCCCGACCCGACCCGACCCGTTTGGGGCTACCCGAGGGTAGGGTGGGGTCGGGTCGGGTATACCCGTTAAATACAATGTGATGTAATTTTTGAATGTTTTATGTTTCACACTGGGTGATGGCGCGCTCCCATTCCTAGCCGTAAATGTATAGTTAGGCGCTTCTTATGTTATTCCGCAAGCCATAAGCATGTTTGACCAGGTCGGGTATCAAATACCCGAGCTTGAACACCCGGGTCGGGTATCGGGTATCTGTTACCCGATGCGGGTATACACACCCGACCCGCCCGGGTAATCCAATCAAAAATAAAAAAAAACCCGAACCGCCAAAAAGGTCGGGTCGGGTCGGGATACCCGAACCGTTGGGGTCAAATGCCCAAGCCTAGTTTCAGAGCAGTAATTTTGTAGAACCGTACCTTGTTTCCGAAAAAAAGCCCAAATGTTCCACGCCCTAACACCCTCCCTCCAACCTGTTGGATTCCATCTCCCTCCGCTTTCATCGTTCTCCTCTCCATCGCCATCTCCATTCCCATCTTTCCATTCTTTCATCCACCCTTTCGTCGCTCTTCATCCATACCCATTGTCCGTTCCACCGATCACTCTCGGGCCCATCCCGTCGCCTCTCCGCGCTACATTCTCCGTCAATCGCACGGCCGAGCAGGTAGGCTGTTGGGGAGTTGTAAAGAAACGCGAAATAACGCCTCGTGTTGTGAAGGAAACCCTCTTGGGGCTCCATAAGTCGCGCTTCTTCTCACACTGTCCACGAGATCCCCTCTGTTCCTTTCTCGCCTGCGCCATCCCGGAAGCCACCAGCCAACCTTACTAGACCTCGTCGCCTTCCCGCGCGCCGTGCCAGTGCGCTTGCCGCCGCCCGTTCCCACGTGCCCCCTCCTCCTACTCCCCTCCCTGAGTCCCCACCTCCCGCCCTTCCCAGGAGCCGCACTACTGTCAGCCGCGGTCGCGCCTGCGCCACCCGCGGGGCATGTCTCCCGTCGCCGGTTTCGCTGCTGCGCCGGCCGTCGTTTGATTGATTCCGCGCGCGACGGGCCGTCATGAGGCTGCGGCGGGGTTCGCTGCGCGGCAGCGGCGCGCGCGCGGGCGGCGACACGCCCCGGTATCTGGTGAACTCGCTGGCGGTGGCGTTCGTGGTGTCGCTGCTGTTCCTCTACCGCCTGCAGCGCCAGGAGCGCCAGGAGCAGGCGCAGCAGCAGCGCGAGGAGCAGCAGCAGCAGCACCCCGCGCTCGACATCGAGGGCGGGGGAGGGGGGAGTGGGGGGGATGTCACAAGCGGCGTTGGTGAGGGGGCGAGGGAGTTACGCGTGAGCGGCGGTGGGGCGGATGCTGGCGGAGGTGGCGGGGGGACGGAGAGCGACGCAGGAGGGGACGAGGGGGGCGGACGTGTGCGGAGTGACGGTGGTGGTGGCGCAGCTGCGGGAGGCGGTGGTGAGGGCGGTGGCAGGGGAGGGACGGCCGACGATGGCGGGGCAGACGACAAGGCGCGGGAGGTGCGTGGAAAGGAGAGTGGGGAGTCGTCTGGAGGAGAAGTAGAGGCAAGTGCAGGTGGCAGCACCAAGGTGACTTCCGAGGCTAGCGATGCTGGTGGTGGCGATGGTAATGGTGGAAGGGGTGAGGGGATGGCGGATGGGAATGACGGGGAAAGTGACACGGGCTCGAGAGAGGCCGGTGAAGACAGAGGCCCGAGCAGTGTGGCAGAGAGTAGTGAGGGCGAGAGCGAAAGCAGCGGGGATGGTGGTAAGCGTGAGAGTCTGACTGATGGTGAGGAGGAGGGCACGGGAGGCGTGGGGAGCACAGGCGATGGGGAGAGTGAGAAGGGCACGGGGATGGCTGATCAAGAAATGGGCAGTGATGGGGGGCATGCGGAGGGGCAAGGCGCCGCAGATGAGGCTGAGGGGGGCGGTGCTGGAGGCGGGCAAGGCAAGGGCGTGGGGGGTGGTAAGGAGGCAGAGGAGGAGAGCGATACTGGATCCGGTGCTGAGAGGGGAGGGGAGGCGAAGGAGGCGGAGGAGGGGAGTGGCATAGAGAGCAGTGCAGTGAATGGGGGTGGCGATGTGGGAGCTGCAGGCATGGAGGCAGACGCAGGTGTTGCGACGGAGCAAGGGAGGAGTGGTGATGAGGATGATGGTGGGAGTGCGATTGTGAGTGGTGGCAAAGCGGGCAAGAGTGAGGACGTGGAGGCGGGTGATGCAGTGGAGGAGGGGAGGGTGAAGGCAAAGAAGAAGAAGGCTTCGGGCAAGAAGAAGAGCAAGAAGGGCAAGAAGCGGAAGAAGAAAAAGAGCAAGAAGGCTAAGGTTGCTGATGAGTGAGTGGTGAGATAGCATTGATAACGCTGCATGCGTGTGGGTTGTGTTGCAGCTTATTTATTTCCATGGTATGGTACCGGAAGCTCAGTCTTGACTACAAGTCCCAAGAGCAGGGTAAAACATTCCAATTCCTTGATTATCAGGGTGTGCTTGTCAAACTATGTTTGTAGAAATAGATATGCTCTAGTGAGTTGCATGTTAGAGGGTACAGAAACTCTCTCGATACTTTGCTGGTATCCCCTCCCCTTTGACCTAATTCACTATTCTCCTTAGCTTCCTAGACAGGCCCAGGGCTTATTTTATCAGTGTAGATCACCCTGATACCCTGATTATCAGGGTGGTTTTTGGTACCGTCATCGCCCGGATATAAGACATATATGTCTTATCTCGTACACGGGCAAAAATGCTTGAGTTATCTTGTAAACGGGATGGTTTAGGGTGTCTTATAAGTCTTATAAATGGAAACTTTTTAACTACTTAGAAATATTTTCCGTACTTCTTGAAAAAGAGTTTCTCATAATGAGTGTGGATGTTGCGAAGGTGCCACTTCGACAACCTCTGCCCGGGACGCCACGTTATGGAGAACACCTGCAGGGGCAAATTTGGTAGGTCCTGGGTCAGCGCGTGGAAGAATTCGCGCTTCGCAAGGGTAAAAATGTACGCGGTATTTCAACTTTCGCTATAATTTATTGAAGTTTCGATTATAAGACATATATGTCTTATCTCGTACACACAAATAGGTGTTTTATAATGAGGCTAGCCTGTTTATAAGAGACACCCGTATAGTAGACAACCCCTGTCTACTATTCAACACTGTCTTATATCCGGGTGATGACGGTAGTCACACTGATGCCTTAGGGTAATTTTTTTGGGAGCTAGATTTTTCCTGATATGCCAGGGTTTACGATTAAGGCACACTGATGCCTCAGGGTTGCCGTTCCTCTTAGCGAGTTTTACCCTGAAGCGAGTACCACCCTTTCCCCGCCACCCCCCCCCCTCCCCGAACCCCCCTACCCCGTAACCCCACAACCTGGGAGAAGCGGGATGGACGGTGGAAGGAAAGGCGACCCCCACAATCAGAGTTTAATTACAAAGTTAACGATTTCTATCGATGGCCGATCAAGGGCACCCATACTACGTCTTGTGCCCCATGTTGCGCGGATTTTCCTTATCTGCGGGGCTCTGGTACCGTATCACCCCGGATAGAAGCGCAGGCCTAGTATAAGCGCCTGCGCTTCTATCTGGAGCAATGCGCTTATGGCCGATCCTCAATTATAAGCGCACCCCCTGTGAAATCGTTACTTATTATAAGCGCATGTACAATTTTAAATTAAAATTTCTGTTCGAAATGGTAGCGAGTTTTAATTTTGAAGCGAGTACAATCTCATTTTCGCTGAGTTTGACTCTCGAAGACCTGTCTGGCTGCGCGTCCAATCAGGATGTGCTGGCATGACTGCAAAGTGTCGCATCTTGGCCCCTGTGTGCTGGAAGAGAACCTCTTGTGAAGAAAGTAGGCAGGATGAGGAGCCATGGCTAGGGTTTAGCTAGCCAGGCAAGCGAGAATAAGCAAAAGAAGAGGGTTGGACTAGCAAGCAGGTGGATACATATAGGAAACCCTATTGGGCTGTACTCACTATTGAGTACCCCACTGCAGGCTAGACAAATAGAACATATTCTGACACACCCCCATAGCCAAAGTGGGGTGTAATCAGCACAAGAAGCAAAGCAAAACAAGCTCAGGGTGGATCACAATGTCACCACACATTCTGAGCACAAGTACAAAAAGAAACAATTTATAGTTCACAAATATAAGCAAAGCTAGAGGCTATCACAGAGGGATTGTGAGGAGGAGGAGGGACTATGAGAGGAGAGGAGGTAGTGGGCGGCAGCTGGAGCTGCTAGCACACGGCGCAACTGGAGCAACTGGCACACGGGCAACTGGAGCAACTGGCACACTGGCAACTGGAGCAACTGGCACACGGGCTACTGGAGTAACTGGCTCCGCGGCTAACTCTGAGCGGCAGGAGCAACGGACCCACGGGCAACTGGAGCAACGGGCTCACGGGCAACTGGAGCAACGGGCTCACGGGCGACTGGCGCAACGGGCTCACGGGCGACTGGAGCTGCTGGCTTCACGGCGGCCACCCCCCTTCAACCTCCCCAAACTGTCCCACCCCCCTATGACACACCCCCTGCGGCACCTCTAGCACTGCTCACACACGCCTCCCCCTTAGTACCACTCCGACAGCTCCCACACATCCACCCCCCTCAGCGGTAGCTGCAGCAGTGGGAGACAGAGGAGGAGGAGGAGCAGGGGAGACCACACACCCGCCACCCCCTACTCGCCACCCCCAAACCCTAACACAGGGCAGGGCAGGATGGCGGGTAGGGAGGTTACGGGGGGGGAAGGGGGGGGGGGGGAGGAGGGCCGCGACGAAAACAGGAGGGGCCGAGGCGCGGCCCCCCAGGGCGCCAAAGCAGGCGGCAGAAGGGGCGACGCGCGGCCCCCTTAGGTCGCCTCGACAGGCGACGGGAAAAGGGGCCGGGGCGGGGCCGCGACGGGGCCGCGACGAGGCCGCGACAGGCGTCGGGGCAGGGCCGGGGCGGGGCCGCGACGGGGCCGCGACAGAGCCGCGGTGGGCGAAGGGGCAGGGCCGGGGCAGCACCGCGACAGGGCCGCGACAGGGCGGCGTCGCGGCGACGGGGCAGGGCCGCGACGGGGGGCCGCGACGGGGGGCCGCGACAGGAGCCGCGACGGGGGGCCGCGACGGGGGGGCCGCGACGGGAGGCCGCGACGGGGGCCGCGACGGGGGGCCGCGACGGGGGGCCGCGACGGGGGCCGCGACGAGGGGCCGCGACGGGGGGCCGCGACGGGGGGCCGCGACGGGGGGCCGCGACGGGGGGCCGCGACGAGGGGCCGCGACGTGGGGCCGGGGCGGGGCCGCGACAGGGGCGAGGCACCGCCGCGCGCCACGGGGCGCCCGACGGTCAGAAAACTGCCGCGCGCCACGAGCGCGCGGCGGGAAGAAAAAAGGGCCGCGCGCGGCAGGCAGGCGCGCGCTCGAGGCGCGCGTTAGGCAGAGTAGTAGCAGCGGAAGCAGGTGGGCTCACATGCCAAGAGAGTAACAGCTCTGACACCATGTGAAGAAAGTAGGCAGGATGAGGAGCCATGGCTAGGGTTTAGCTAGCCAGGCAAGCGAGAATAAGCAAAAGAAGAGGGTTGGACTAGCAAGCAGGTGGATACATATAGGAAACCCTATTGGGCTGTACTCACTATTGAGTACCCCACTGCAGGCTAGACAAATAAAACATATTCTGACATCTCTTGCAGGAGATTCTGCATTGTGACGCGAAAAAATTCGACTCGGTTGAAATGGCAAGAGTGATACATACAATTTGGTGTCTTGAATTTATAAATTCGTATATGTCATTATATAAGCGCATGCGCTTATAAAAATGACTCAATTAGAAGCGCACCCCCCTAAAAAACTCTGCTTTATTATAAGCGCAGGTGCGCTTCTATCCGAGGTAATACGGTACTTGAGCTCGTACGGCTTGCGCTTGCCCTTGAAGTTTTGGAACAGCGTGAACGTCAAGCGCCCCGCGAAATGCATATTCGGCTCGCCCGCCGTCAGGCGCCCGAACACCATGATGTAGTTCGCGCGCACGTGAATCCTTGGGAGCTTCGGGGAGTCGCAAATTCTAGGAATCGGGGAAACAGCAGGGGAGGGAGGGGGGGGGGGGGAGAGGGAAAGGGTGAGCACGTGGCTGTTTGGCTCGGAACACCGTGACGGCTCGGAAGGCTGGGGTCACGGAAGCGTCGAGTCGCCAGAAGCGAACTAAACGAGATAATATATCACAAAACATCATGATGATAATGCACCAAACCGGCGGTTCTTGTCTCACAGATGGAAGCAGTGAGGCAACATTCGAACGAACCCTGAATTTTGCTCTAATCCCATACTCACTTCAACCAACCCTTGATTCGAAGTCGTCGCACGCTGATATTGGGTACATCCAGGACCACGGCCACGCCGCACGGAATCGTGACGTCAGCCCATCGCTGCAGCCCGCGACCCGGCACTCCTAGAATGCTCGCCTTAGGTCCCCACGTTGTCCAATCGCTCCAGCGTTTAAAGCGGCTTGCAGGTGGCTCGTTCATAAGCTTTCCGCATGCGGGGCGGTACGCATCTGTGGCTCGGAACGCCGCGGCGCGGACTAGCGACACGTGGCAGCATGCGACGAGGGCGATGAACGATGCGACGAGGAAAGGGGAGAATGAAGGCGCGACACGTGGTTTAACAGGAACTCGACGCGAGGAGTGTACGGTCGACATGGCGATTTTCGCTTTGGATAGACTTTGTAGTATCCACGTGGATACTACGCTTATACACGTGCATACTACGGTAGTTAGGTGACGAGGTCAGTTGGTCGCTCCAAGCCTTGAAAGCACGATCGTGGATGAACGATAGCGAGCTCAACGTTAATGAAAGCAATGAAAGGAACAGTGACTACGACGGTGTGGGCTGGAATGGTTCGTAGCGAGTGGAAGGTAATGACGCCAAGAACGCTTCTAGTTGCGCGCTGGGTCTTGGCTTCTGACGAAACCTGGATTACCGAGTTATCGGCGTCTGGTGCTTCAAGGGGAGCATTCGTGACACTGGCGTATTTTCAGTGATGCGCTCGACGGGACGTGTAGAAACGTGTAGGTAGCTGGGGAGCATGGACGGAAGCAGCAGCGGCCAAGGCACGGATCGTAGAGAGCAAGATTGTTATTGTGTGCTCTGTTAATAACAATTTCATCAGGGTTTGAAATAATTGTACACCGATGCCCCAGGGTAGAATTTTCAAAACAGGCAGAAACCCTGATGGAAAAGTTTTTTCACAAGGGGTCACACTGATAATCAGGGTTTTGAACATGTGCAACACTAATCGTAAGGGTTGCTAAAAACAAAAAATTAGCCATGGACAGGCCCCGAGATATTGTTGGGCTGAGAAATAGC